AAGGAGTCCCTGGAGATAGCTCTCAGCATTCACCCAAAGCAGAAACATCAACACCAAACACAGCAGAAGCTGTTTTCTTTAATAACTTAGTTAAAAACAGCATCACGCTTCTAGTTGGAGGATTAAGTTCCCACAACTACATGTTTAAAAAGCCACCTTCTTCTCCTGAGGAGAGCAGACCACATCAGAGAACTTCAGTATCAGGGGAAAAAGCCCTAGGTACACATTATGCCAAGAGTTTTTATTATCCAGTACATGGTTCATCTGACTGATCTCTTGAAGCAAGAAAGGGCACTTAATGCTCTGTAAAAAGCCACTAGAGTCCTCAGAGCTTCTTCTAGAGAGTCACTCAATTGCATTATTGTATGGAGTTTATCTGCCAAACATAATTACAGCTGTTTAAATCTGAGATTAGTCAAGGTTAACACTGTTAACAGACTCTGATACAGTAAAAGGACAAAACTGCAATGTCCTCTTCCTCTGCTAAAAACAGGCAGTGGTATCATCGTTACTTGAAAAGCAAAGATCTTTTTGTTGACTATCAGTATTTTTTTCCTCCTCTCCTAACAGTTGATCCAACAACAATAACAACTCAAGCCTGGCACAAATGTAATCAGAATTGAAACACCTTCAAAGGTCATATTTTCAAAGCTCTCTCTTTGTATCTGCAGAAGCAAAGTGGTTGTTTTTCTCTAAGGAGCCTAGAAGATGGTTTAGATGCACAACCTGAGGTTTACACGTGCCAATTCTCAGAGTCATGATCTCTCTAACTAGAGATTATCAGGAAAAAGAGGATAAAATGTTTATAGATAAATCACTACTTGAAGTTTTTGTCTCTACAGTCCAAACTGACCGTGCATATGAGTATTACATTTTAATCCAAAGAAGGAATCATACATAAAAGCTTATTTTCTTACAGTTGCACCTTGAAGAATCAGCAAAAATGATCTGTGGACTTGCTTTAGGAAGATGGGTAAAGTCTCTAGACTAATTATTCCTGGAAGCAAAGCTTATTCCATATATTTTTCTCCTACATTATATGCTTAAAGCTCATATTGATGCAGAAAAGTCAGAATAAAAATCCAAAAAAGAAGTGTAATGTGCAGAATTAACTTTCTATCAAATCCTAAAAGAAAGACAATCCCTCCTTTAGCCACAGCATGTGAGAGTGCTGAAGGGCTGCCAGAATTCCTGCCTTCCTGCTCCAGTGGATGAGGGCTGCTGTACCCACCCAGCCCCCAAAATCTCCACAGGTTCTGTGTCTGTTTTAAGAATGCCACGAGGCTCAGCCTGATGACACATGTCAGGTAAAGATCCTGGCAACAATGGTTTCATGGCACTCAGCAAGATCACCCAAATCCTTCTGCATTCCCAGAGAAGAATTCCAAAAGCAACAGCACTTTGCTTTTTCCTTTCAGGCTCATACTAGAATTCCCATTGACTCCAGTAGGAGTACATTTCCCTTTCAAACACTTCAATTGAAACATGCAAAAATAGTGACCTAATAAAGCAACTTTCTCTGATCCTGTTTATTTTTCCAGTTTAGCTTTTAGCCCCTTCAGTCCCCTACAGCTTTGTGGGTAGAGGTTCTTGTGGCTTTTTCACTTCTGGGGCTTTTTTCAAGATGAAAACAAAAAAATCAGGAGACTTTTTAAGCTTCTCCTGTTAAGCTCTTATCTACACTGTGAAAAGCAACCTGCTGCTTTAATGAGTTCAGCAGTAAGAGTCAGAGCATCCATCCTGTGTGGCCAAGGAATCATTTTTCAGATGTTTTGCACTTACCTCATTCGATAATGGAGCCGCTGTGACGTTTTCTCATCTATCTTAAAGACCTGGTTTGGTGCATACCAGAGTTTTTTGTTCTCATCATACAGTGCAAAGAGATTATGGCACAGAGGAGATATAGCTGTTGGAGAAGAGTAAACAACTGTAAGAATCACCAGGCTGCAATATATATGCATATTTAAAACATGTAAAAGGGATATAGCAAATATCTGACCTTGCAAAACAGACCATAAAAAGAATCTGATACCAAGGGTCTTTTAAAACAAACATTAAGAAAGTTATGGCTGAACTGGAACTGCAAACTGCATTGGTTGACTCCACTAGTTTTATGGTGTATTAAATTGCATATCATTTCAGCTACTTCCAGCATTAAACTTAGTTCCAAATCCTAATTTTGCCAAAGGTCTGAACTTCAGAGGAAAGGACTTAAAAATCTTCCCTTTTTGCAGATTGCAGACATGGGTATTTTAACAAAACCACTCAGCAACACCAGAACTTTGCTCTCAGTCATATTTTATTAAGAAATCTAACTCCCATAGTTGAAAGAGAAGCTTTTAGTGAAAAGATTAAAATCCCCTTCTCATTAGCAAACAGGCAGGAAGCACAATGTGTCATTTTTCCATTCTTTGCTAATTCAACAGACCTTTTTTCCAACAGAAAACAGACTTGTATCTAGGTTGACCTGCTTCAACCTTTGCATTTATATCATCCCAGCAAAAAACAGGCTTTGGTCTATGGCTGCTTGAATTCCTTGCTCTGTTCCTTGAGTTTCCTGCTGGAGAGGACAATGGCTTTTTGCAAAGGTCCTGGCCAGGCAGCAGCTCTGCAGAGAGCACAGTCACCATATGCTTAAGTGCCTTTCTGAAACTGGGCTAAGTGCAGAGCACTTTGTTGGGGTCCTGCAGAATTCAGTGGAACCATTTCTGTTGTCAACTGGGGAGAGAGAGCAGAAGGGAAGAAGCCCAGAGAATAAAAGCTGAAGAGCCTAATTGCACAGTTCACAGAAGGTGGGGTCGGGCAGCCACTGCCTTCTGCAGATCAACCAGCAGCAGGGAGATGCCCCCACTGGTTTAACCATTGCAGTTGTGATGTGCAGCACGGAGCAGCACCACAGGCTGGCTGAAATGGGCCAGACTTCTATACTCCACTGCCTTGTGCTGTGGACTGAGGAAAAGCCAGAGATGGCAGAAGGAAGTTCCCTCAAGGAAAGCTCACTTTAAGCCATTTCCCTTCAAGGGTTTTAAACTCCCAACAGAAATTCCTGGGACCAGTTGCACAGTGTGTAGGTTCACACCCCCTACACACTGACATTAACAAGTGGAGTTTAAGTACTTTTTTTAAAGTTTTAAGTACATTTCCATTCAAACTTTCAAAAACAACATGAGCACTTATTTGACAAGGTTTGCCCTTCACATTCCCATCATTCCTGCATTTCCAATGGAAGAGAAGTACTTAGGCAAATGAACTGAAGGGTACTCAGTGTGACAAGGACCAAGAAGAAACCATTTAAAAGGTACAAGAAAACTTATGCCCAGTTTGCCTGTTTATACAGGCAGATTCACCACTCCTACATGAGCTGAACAATATTTAGTGCTCTATGAAGCTTGGGGAACACAAAATTGGGATCAGGGCAGGAAAGAACTTTATGGAATTGTAAATGTAAAAGTTCACTGGTTCATGAGGATCAAACATAAATTAATTCCACTAATTCCAGTAGAATTACCTTGCTGAGTCAAGGCTACAGTGACAAAGCAAGGTATCTTCATTATATATTTATGTGTTACCACAATCATGTGCAGTTCAGGTTATCTTAAGAGGTCAATCATTAGTGCTACAGTAAAGAAGTATCAAGTAACAGAAACCAAAACCAGAAAAGCAGCAAATCGGTTTTGTTCGTTGTTTTTTTCATTTGCCCTCTCCAAAATATTTTATAACACAGGTCAGATCCTGACAGGCTCAGCAACTAGAACACAAGGTAAAGGCAAATCTGTTTACTTACTTTCACAGGGTGTCTTCTCTTCTCTTAAAGGAAAACTAATCATAGAATCATCAGAGAATCCCAGACTGGTTTAGGTTGGAAGGGACCTTAAAGATCATCTAGATCCAACCCCCTGTCATGGGCAGGGACACCTCCCACCAGACCAGGTTGCTCCAAGCCCCATCCCAGCTTCCTTGGGCAACCTGGGCCAGTGTCTGAACACCCTCACAGCAAAGAACTTCTTCCTAGTGTCTAACCTAAATCTCTCCTCCTCCGGTTTTAATCCATTCCCCCTTGTCCTCTCACTACAAGCCCTTAAAAAAAGTCCCTCCCGAGCTTTCCTGGAGTCCCTTCAGACACTGGAAGGTCACTACAAGGTCTCCCAAGAGCCTTCTCTTCTCCAGGCTGAACACCAACTCTCTCATTCCACCCAGATTAAAAAAAAGAGTACCTGTATCTGTCAGAAACCAGGATGGGAAATCACCATTTGACACAAAACTCTAGACAGTTCTCCCATTTCAAGCAGTTTAAGAACTGCCCCACCTGAGCCTTGGCAAAATGTTCCACCCTAGACTACATAACATGCAGATTTTTTCTACAAGCACTGCCTAACATGTAGGGAAGGACACATCACTTTGGATACTGTCAGGCCTTGCCACTGAGAACTTAGATCAAATCCAGATACTCACAACACTTCTGGGCAGCTTCAATACACAGCTCCTCCGAGGTGAACTGGCCACTGCTGTAACAAATGGGACTTTTATCTTGCAGGTAGAAAAGCACTTCTAAACCCTGATGCTGAGCTTCCTGGTTTACTTCACTCTTCTTTGTGCTCCTCATTTTTGCACAGAAAGCCATGGCTTTGCAATCTTCTTTTACATTTAGATACTGGAAGTGAAGGAAGAAGAGTTAAGCAAAATGTGAGGAAGAGATTTTGTCAGAACACAAATCCACTGCTTAATGAGCTGCTGCATTCTACCTGGGCTAGGCACAGCACTTCTCACATCTTCACACTGGGAGCCTGATTATTCCAAATCAGTACTTTCCACAAATGAGAAGAAAAGCAAAAAAAAGAAAAGTCAATGATCTTTCTGTTTCTGGTAACTCTGTTCCAAATAATTTCTTTCTGTTCTGGTGGTTCCACAACCATTCTAGAAGGTTTCTCTTCTGACTGGACAGCAGGATTGACTTTCACATCCTTTAAGCACCTATCTGGCTGAGAAACAATACTTGAGGCTGGGTAATATAAACAGTTCAAATTATATTTCCTTTTTAAAAGAAAAAAAGTTAGCTTCTATTTTTACAATCTCCTTAACAGCCAAGTATTTGTGATAGGCTTCTGCCCTCTCACCCTTTGTTTTTTAAAATTGTGATACTGAATGTGTCATGGTGAAAAGCTCTACTGAAGTTATTTTTTACTAGTACTTTTCTCTTTCTCTAGAAGGAATGAGAAGCACTAAGCAGGTTTAATGCAATCATTTTAGAGTGCCAAGAATGCATGAAGACAGCTCTGAATCAAAAGAAAACATGTGTTCCATTTTATATTCAGTGCTTCAATAGAAAGAGCAGAAAGGAAACAGATGAACACACACTCCAGGTATTATGGGGTCTGTGTTCCATGTCTTACTAAGCTTTAGCTCACTTCACCACAAACACCCAAACCACCCGATTCTATAGTTTACAAACTTAATCCTCCCACCGAAAAACAAACCAACCAACCCAAACCTCAAAAGCCAACATACCTGCATTTATGTGACTGTCTGATCCTCTATAGGCAACTGAAACTGATTCTCTTCACGCCCTCCAAGAGCAACTTGACCCTGGCTGAGAGAAAAAAGGAAATTGTCGGGAATGGCTTTGTAGAGTTTGAGGCACAAAGAATATGGTCAGGAAGACAAAACCCCACTTGCAATTGGAGGAAATCTTTCCATTAATGTAACTGAGATCCAGACCAGGTTTCAACCAAAGGCAGTCACAGCATCTCAGTTTTCAAAGAGCATACTTTTTTAAAAGCCTTATCTAACACAACAAACCACGTCTGGGGCTGGTTTGCAAAACTACTCCCACCCAAAATTACAGGTTGTCCTTATCAGCTGAAGCAAACCTGGGAAATCAGGAAATCAATGCCATCTTTTTTTAATGGTAGGTGTGACAATGCCTCTATTTAAAGTATTGCCTGATACCAGAGCTGTAAAGTCAACAAAATGCTACAGTAATACTTAAGAAGCAGAGGGGGGAAGAATGGGTGTTGGTAAGAAGTCTCCTTCATCCTAATGCTGGTGGTAGAGCACAGAGCATCAGAAAAAGAGCTGGCTGGCTTGGAAGATGTGCCTGTGTGCTCCTCTTCAAAGGTGGGCAGGCTGCTCTATCTCACCAGCATGGGAATAAGCCAAATGGGAAGGAGTCTGGACTCTGGAGAGCCTCCCATGCTCTGGCAGTGGTCCCACATCACAATCTGTGAGCCACAGCTCCATGCTCCCGAGGGGAAACCACCCCACTGGAGTCTCCTGGGACAGTCACTAACCTGGACAGTAAAATAAATGCAACAAATGTGTCTAAATTAAATGTGACAAAACATGTCTAAACTAAATGGGACTGTATGTTTGGTGTCACCCATCACTCTCCTTTGAAGCTGAAAGACTCCTCCATTTGTCTTCTCCATCCCTCCCTTTTTCTCTTCTCTCCTACCTCTGGCAGAACATACTTGAACTAAATGTGTGTTGGTTTTGCTGCAACAGCATTAGGCCCCTTCATCTGCTATGGCAGACTTCAATTAATGTGATTTTATAAACCTTAGGCTTAGTCTGCAGAAAGTCTGACCCTGTTACACAAGCTTGAAAAGTGTCCAGCAAACACGATACCATCTTAGAAAAACACAACATCTAATAGCACAGCATGTATTTACAATTAAATTGCATGTTCCTCCCATTTGTGCCACTTTAATGCTACATCTGAATTCCCAGACACATTCCCTCAACAATAAGATGGGGAAGAAGTAATTGAGAGCATGATTACTGGAGCGTGCAGACAAGCCAGTCATTCTTTCTTCACAGCCCCAGAAAACTGAAATGCAGAAAGTTAAAGATATTAGTTTTAATCTAATGAAAACACTCCCTTTCAAATTACATAACCTTACAACTGAAACTCAATATACTTTAATGTCTGTGTGGGCATAATATTAAAAAGTTTGTCCAGATGTTTTAAAATGGGAAGGGAAACATAAAACCGTTGCCTTCTAGCAGATTCATAAATCAAAAATGCTGCTTTTCAACACAGCATTCTTTGGTTTTGCTTAATAGCTCATACTCTTGTTTCTAACCATGGCAGCAATGCCCAGAACACAAAAGAACCCTAAGTGCAGCTTCGTTTACAAGACACTTCTAGGGATGAACGAACGAAACTCACATCTAATCTCTAACTTACTCTTTACCAACGACCTTTCCAGGTATTCCCATCCTCAGGAATTCACCTTTTTAAAAATGCATCTACATCTTCCCAAAAGTCTCCCCTGAACATGACAAATCCCTGCCCTGGCAGCAGCAGTTGGACACAGTCCCCAGGGCAGCCGTGTGACTGTCCCCTGTCCCTTCTGCAGCACCCGGAGCTCCCCACAGCCACCACCTTCACTCCCTTGCCATCTCAGCCCTCATACTACTCAGCCCTCACACTTCACCTCCAGAATTTGAAGGGATTTTTCATCCTTTCCCACTAAAAAGGTTTCAGAGCCCCAGTGGACAGTTGTTTTGTGGGTATCTTCTACAGATGATCCCCCTCCCTCGTGTTTGCCTCATGAACTGACCCATACTGGCTGCATCCTCCCTCAGACTGCATTTTGCTTGGCTTGCACCACGCCCCACTGGTCTCTTCCTGCAAACTAAGCTCCTCTTTCCCCAGCTCATCCCTGCAGCACTTCCCAACACTTCACCCACCCTCCTCGAGCAGCACTAACCCCTGGAACCCAACACAGGGTGCCTGGGACGCGCTTGGCGTCTGCTGGGAGCCGTCAGACTGACAAGACACCATAAGCTTTTTCCAGAGCCTATTTGGTCTTCACCTGATTTCTGTTCCTCGTGGTAGAAATGGTCTTTAGTGACACACAGAGCAAAATACTTAGGGGAAAGCAGGATTGGCTCTTCTCCAGATCCCACTTGGTAACTCCACACCTCAAAACCTGCAGGATTCCAGCCTTCGGAGCCAAAGGGTTTCTCTGGTCATTTTAAGTCCTGACCAAGGCACACACCAATGGACCTGTCACCTGCTTCAACATCTGCATTTGAGTCACAGAGGAAAACTCAGCTGGCTGGCAGGGTGAGCAAACCCCCAGCCCAGTGCACCACCAGCAGAGGGGGACAACAATTCATTCTCCACACAAGGGTTATGACCACAAAACTACTGATTTTGGCTGCACACAAGGGACAAACAACAAAACCATGCAGCCACAACTGCCGAAATTTGCACCTCATTTATTTGGATGAGGTCAACGAGCCAATCTGGGGCCACAGAAAGCATTTCTTTCTCATGCACAAAGGAGATCCTCTCAAAATTCTGGTATCAGAAAGATAAAAAGTGAAAAAAATAGGGAGAGGGAATTCTAGAAGGTGGGCTGTTCAAAATAATTTGTTTCTAGTTTGGCTATTAAACTATTAAGACTTAATTAAATATTTGGAATATAATAATATTTGGTAAAAACTCCAGTTCCTGCCTATGACTTGCCACAGCCAAGCTCCCCTTAGCAAAAGCAGAGTGGATCAAGCCCAACAGTCCTGGAAATTCTGAGGAAAAAAAAAACCAACCAAAAAATGCACACCACTATTTGTTAAATAACCCCTTTAAACTTCTGCATTGTGTGGACCCAATGGACCCAGCACCATTTGTTTTCCATTCATAAAACATTTCAACAGGCAAAGGGAAACCATGAAACCCACCCAGGTTATGAGATGAAAACCCTCAGAGCACATTCATGCTTAACCTGAGCCAAACCTGCACACCCAGACCTGTTGAGACTTAAAAGGTGAGTTTTGCTTCCTGCTCATTTTGGGTAGTTCTGGCAGGGCAATAAGACTCTGGCCAGCTCTGCTGACCCCTTGCTCCAGCCCTGCTCCACCACCACCACCCCTGTGCTCTCCACACTGCCAGCAGAAACAAAGACCACAGAAGCAAAATGCAAAGATGGAAGGTCCAGTTTGGGGGCAAAAGTCCCTAAAATGTGAGCATAGGAAAATCCTGGCTAAAATCTGACCAAACCAGACCTCAGTTTGAAGCACCATTCGCAAGCTCTTCCTCTTTTTTTCCCCTTCTCAGCCCATTTAGTTTCTGGTTTCATGACAGTGACAGGGCCAGGGGATGTTTATGATTGCTTACACTAAGAAAGGAGCAGGCTTCCCTTCAGCATGCAGGGCATGCAACTTCTGGAGTCACCAGAGTTTCTGTCAGCCTGGAAGTTCTCAGTTCTTAATTTATTTTTCAACACACTCATAAAAAACCTGCACAGCCTGAACAGCACAGGACACGCAGCCAATCCAGCACAACCTATTAGAGGCTAATTTAAAATAAAACCAGGTGCTCGACTTAACTTCATACATTTTAACCAGAAAAAAAGGACTGCAAAGATATGACAGCAAAGCCACGAAGCAGCACATTAATATCCCTCATGACAGAAGGGGCCAGCACACCCCTGAGCGACCACCCTGGGAAGGCACAACCACCACTACTACCACAGTAGGCAAAAGCTGGACCAGCCATGATTAACTCAAGCTCACTGGAAAGGAAGAAATTAAAATGTGCCATTAAAGTAGAGATGGTGCACAGAGCTTCCTCAGGACTAGAACTCCTGGCCAAGTCAGCTTGAGGACAACAAAAGG